GCATGCGCCCGCGCCTACGCCCGCGCATGCGCTCCAGACCCCCGAGCCCGCGCCGCCCGCCAAGCTGGAGCCCAAGCCCATCATCCCCAAGGCAGAGTCCAAGGTCAAGGCCCGCAAGACCGAGGCCCGAGGGCTGGCTAAGGGCAAGAAGAAGGCGCGCAAAGAGGCGGCGCAGGCGGAACCCGAGGTGGAGGTGGAAGAGGTGAAGTTGGTGGGGTGATGGTTCCCTCCTGCTCCCTCCTGCGCCTCTCGAGGGGGTGGAGGAAGCACAGGGCGGAAGGACAACTCCAGCAGGGCTGAGGGACATGTCGCTGGGCCCTAGGGAACATCATCAACATACCCCAGCCTTAGCGTTATTCCGCCTTGAGGCAGGGGAAGACCTGGGCATCCCATCAAGAGGTGGCTGGGGATGGGTGCACCTGCCTGATAGCAGCCTCTGCTACCAGGTGTAGCTGGGAGGGCTTCCCGGAGGTGGAAGAAAGGCCCAATAGTACGTGAGTCCTGGACCTCAGGACTGGCTGCCTGAGGGCGAGGACCAGTGTCCAGGGATGATTCACAGAGACTCCGAGGAATGAAGAGAGAGAGGAGGCTGGGCACCAGATCCAGACCCAATGCTATCCACGTTCCCACTCCTCTCTGGACTCAGAGACACCGGGTTCAAAAATCCTACCAGTCCTGATGGTGTGGGGTTCAGGGGCTGAAGATGGAGCAGTGAACAAATGAGGGGTGCTCTGGGAGTGTCTCCCCAGGTCCTGTTCCTTGGTCCAGCCTCGTGGCCTGCCCTGGGTGCTCACACAGCCTCTCTCTTTTACTCCCAGGTCCCCAACACTGTCCTCATCTGCATGGTGATCCTGCTCAACATTGGCTTGGCCATCCTCTTCGTTCACCTCCTCACCTGACCCTCGTCTACCAGGTGTGGCCAGGAGCAGAGCAGTGGGACCCCAAAGGGAGGTCTGGGCATTGGGGTGATGGGCAGAGGGACATCTGCCAGAGCCTCGTTGAGTCATCCCCACAGAAGCACTGGCCCACGATTTGACTGGTCAACCTTCCTTCTCCCCTCTGAGACCCCTCTCAGTGGCCAAGTATGTGCAGGTCACCTGCTGTTGTCCAGCCTTGGTTCACAGAGATGTCACTCACTAATGCATCCATTCATTCACTCACTCATCCATCCATTTATTCAGCCACCATCTACTGGACATCTGCTCTGCCGGGAGCTGGGCATATGGACCTTCTCACTCTTGGTCCAGCAGTGAGGCTGACCACGAGAGGGATCCCTTAGCATACAGCTCCTCCCCTCAGCGTCTGCTCAGAAAGCCTGCTTTGTGATTCTTTCTCACCCCTCAGAGGTCTGGTCTGGAGGTGTCCTCCTGGCCTAGGAGGGGGACACTCTTCCCCGCTGCCCATCCTTTCTGCCTTGTCCCACCTCAATCTCCGGCCCCTTTGCTCCCAGACCCCACTCTATCACTCTGTTCTTTCTTCCCGGAACTCTCCTGGGCCCATCTCGTTCCTCTAGAATGGATCTGAGGGCTGGGCTGAAGGAAAGCGACTCTCGGGGCTTCAGGGTGAAGCGTGTAGGGACAGAGCAGACCCTCCTTCTGCTGGGTCCTGTCTCTTAGCCTGACAGCTGGGTCCAGTCCTGGGTCATGGGTCCAGCCTCCTCCATCAGCCCTCCCACTGACCTTCCCATGATCTCAGCTGAGTGTGGTCTAGAGCCCTTCCCCCTCCTCTCGGAGAGTCCCTCCTCCGTCCGGTCACCCATGTACATGTTGATGGGATCTGTCGCGTCCACTCTGGTTCATAGTGACCTTGTAGGACACAGTAGAACTATCCCGTAGAATTTCCAAAGCTGTTCACGCGAAAGCTGTCCCATCTTTCTCCTGCCCATGGAGAATGGTTGCCAGCCTGTGGGGGGCTGCCTGTAGGTTCAGGGTGGTGGGATCTGAGAGAGCTTTCCAGGGGGATTTGAGGGGTGAGAAGGGCTGAGCAGCGGACAGTGCGGTAGGAGGACAGAGAACAACAGAAAAGCAGAGGTGGGTGGCCGGAAGGAAAATCAGCTCAGAGCCTTGTCCCTGATCGGGGTTCTGGGGAGCTGGGGTCTTCCCTGGGGAGGATGGACCCCAAGGCGTCCCTCCTTACTGTCTGCGCTTCAGCCGTGTGCCTGTCCCCCAACTTGACCATCTTGCTGTCTCCTCAGAGCCAGGACTTCCTGCTGAGGACGCCAGGACCCGCACTTTCTGCAGCGCCGGGCAAGGTGGCCGCGGAGGACTGGACTCTGACTCGAGCCCTGGGGTCCAGCGCGCGCCTACATCACAGACGTTTCAGGAGGCCTCGTGTTGTGCTGGCGCTGGGTGGCAGATGGTACCGAGAGGAATAGAATGTGCTGGAACCTTCCAGAAGCCCTGAGAGAATGACCTTTGAGTCCTTTGAGCTTCCTGATCTGCTCCTGTCCCTCATTCCCATCACTCCTTTGTCCCTTTCTGGGCTTTTGTGTGTTTTGGGAGAAGTCACTGCATCAGGAGATTAAGGTGAAAGCCTGTCCCCCTTGTGGCTGGGTCCCCCTTTGTTCCCCCTCTGGCTGCTGCGTGGGGACCACAGAGGCACAAGGAGGGAGCAGTGAACTCCCTTGTGGCCTTGGGGGGTGCCCTCAGACCACACCGAGGCCCTGTCTTTTGCATATTTGACCCTGCCCCCACTGGGCCTTGGTTCTAGTGCCTTAGATGACAGTAGAGAAAGGAGCGTGTGTCTCTGTCTCCTCCCTCTGGTCCGTGGCTCTTGCCATCTGGATCCTAGGAAGTGGGGAGACCTGAGGATCTGGAGCCTGGGAGAACGGTGGGAACAGCCATGTAGGTCCCTGTTTCTGTGTGTGTCTGAGCAAAGGCTGAGATTGCATTGGGGACACTCCAGTGTGCCCAGGGTGGGAGACTTTCTGAGGTCGCTCTGCAGCCCCCTGAGGCTGCTGCTGTGCTCTGTGATTGGCTTGTTTGCTGCGTGCCCCCCCTTCCAGAACTGCCCCTCCAGGGGCTTAGGGAGCGTGAGCACTGGACCCCGGGGAGGCACGTATACTTGGTCTTAGGGCGTCTCCTGGGCAGGTGCTGGGAATGGGCTGCATGTCCTGGGGGGGGGTGTTTAGGCTCCCACTGGGCACTTGGGGTGCCCTATGGCTTGCTTGGTGGAAGACAATACTTGCATGCCCCTCACTTGATGTTTGTACCACACTGTGTCTCTGGACCCTTGTGCTTGTTGGGAAGGGGGGCTGTGGAGGCTGTAGGGGGGGTGGGCTGGAGCTGGGGTGTGTTTCTTGACCAGAGGAGAGAGCAGCCCACCCCAAGGAGGAGGTGAATGGCAGAAGAGCAGGGGGGCTGCTGCCTCACCTGTGCTTCCTTGGACCTTTGGGGCTTAGGGGGTGCGGCTGGCCCCCCAAGGGCTGTGCTGCAACTGGACGATTGCTGCTGATGGCTCAGCTTCCCTGCCCCGCGGACCCCTTCCCCTTCTAGCACTGCAGACCCCGTGGTGAGGCTGGTGGTCTGGACTGCATGTCTGCAGAAGGGATGTGCTTTGCGGCCACTCCAGCCTTAGCCAGCCAGACCTCGGTCAGCATCCCGGCTCCTGGGGAGTGAGAACAGTGCCAAGGCAGTGGCTCCAGCTCTTTGCTCCAGCCTCTGGGGTCTAGTCCCGTGTTCAGGACAAGCCTTTGGACACCCGAGCTCCCAGACCTGCTCTGGGACTGGCATTTGGGAGAGGGGTCAAGATGCCACCTCTGTGCAATAATAAACCCGCATCTGTTCACAGGCTCCAGCTGGGCTGCGGTGTCTGCTTGTGGGCCCAAAAGACAGGCTGTGGGAGGCCGGGGAGAGGCTGGGGCTGGGGGTCTTCCTAGTTCAGGCCCCCTCTCTCCTCCTCTCTAACGCTTGAAGACTCAAAGGCCATACCCCTTCCAGGAGAGAGCCTATAATTCTAAAACAGACTTCCAGAAGCTTCTCTGAGTCATAGACATAGAGTAAAAGAGCGAGCCTGCCCTTTGAGGTCAGGTCACCTTGGCCTCCAGTTTTAGCTTCATCATTCATTTCACTCCTCTGAGCCTCAGTTTCCTCATCTATAAAATGGGGATACTAATAGCACCTGTCATAATAGATGGAGAGGCTGCATCATGATAGATCAACACATTTGGTACCAGCAGTCAGGAGATCAGAAAACACATTGGGGAAAGTCTGCTGTGAGGGGCCTTTCCAAATTACTGAGGAACAGTGATGTCCATTTGAAGACCAGCATGTGTCTGATTCAAGCCTTGGTCTTCTAAGTCACTTGTTATGCATCTGAGAGTTCCACAATGAATAAGGATGATAGGAGGAGAAATGATGCCTTGGAGTTGTGATGTTGGAGAAGAGCGCTGAATATCCCATGGACTGCCGAAAGAACAAACAGATATGTCACAGAGAAGATGCAGCGAGAGTGCTCCTTGGAAGCAGAGAGAACAAAACTTCATCTGGTACTTTGGGCATGTTGCTAGGAGAGGCTATTCATTGTGTGTGGGAAGGTGGAGGGTCAGTGAAAGAGAGTGAGACCCTCAACCAGGTGGATGGACACTGACTGCTGCAATGGTCTCGAGTATGTCAGAAATGATGAGGAGGGCACAGGGTCGGACAGGGTTCAGATCCGTTCACACTGTTGCTAGGGGTTGTACTTAACTCGACAGCACCTAACACCACCACCTACCTGTGGGGTCGCAATGAGGATTACAAAGCTGGGTAGAGTCCTGCAGTCATGAGCAGTTGGGACATGGAGCTTTTCTGTGTCATTACCACTTTTCAGTAGTTCAAGTCCACCACTTACTCCATGTGAGAAAGAGGAGACGTCTGTGTCTGTGAAGATTTGCTGCCTCGGAAGCCCTCCTCTGTGCTGTGGAATGTCTCCACGTTGGGGTTGATGCGACAGCACGTACTCCAGCAATGGCAGTCATTCACTCTCTTAGATGCTCCCCGTTTTGTCAAGGACTTTAGAAACCCCAAAAGTGTGGCAATGATTCAGGCACCGGCTACAGTCACAGGACAGCTCAGGAGACTCAGAGGCCACTGTCACATGCTACCAGAGTGTCAGAGAGGTGACAGAGGGGACTTTGGCTGACGCCACACAGCAAGTCAGTGGCAGGGACCGAGGAAAGCAGTTCTCTAGTCTGGGGAGAAACCCTCTCCATCAAGGATCTCTTCAAAGTGGCAGAGCTGCAGGGTCCAGAGCTGAGTCCAGGCAGGTCCTGGGGTGTTTTGGTGATCAGGAGACCCCTTGACTTTTGTATTCCTGGGGGCGCAGTTGCTTCCTCTTTTCTGTGCCCATCTCCTCTTCCATTAAGGAAGCTACAGCCCCACCCTGATGCCATCCTAACCGGAACTGCAGTTGTGAGAATGTGCAGGAGACAGATTCTGGGCGGCAGCCAGTTCTACAAGACACTGGAATGATCAAAGCTCAAGGAAGAAGCAAAGTTGGTGGCAATGGGCAGGGACTTATTTTCATCTGCAGAGGCTTTGATGTGGCTTATGGAAGGGAGGAGGGGTCACCAGCTAAGTGAGTTGGTCTGCAGCCTGGCTGTGGTGGACTGAGGCAGGGGCAGCGGGAGAGGCTGCATTAGAATCACCTGAGATGGTTTGAGAAGAAGGCAAAGTCCTGAGCCCCTGACTGAAGTTAGGTGAAGTCAGGTGAGTTTCGTTGGAGTCGGGCTCCACCTAGCGGCGCAGGCTGAGAACACACTCTGGCTGGTACCTGCTTTTCTTGTCTGTCTAAGCCATGGCTAAATCAAGCTTGATGAGGCCTCCCACACATCCTGCAAGCATTGAAAGTGATTTGCACTGTGGATAGGAGACAGACACACTGGACACTGTCCTGTGGGCATTGCTGGAGCTATTGTCAC